TCAGGTCTCCTGGAGCTGGAGTGACAGATGCTTGTGAGTCAAGGGGCATCCTCAGCTTCACACTCCACACTCTCACCTGCTAAGCATCTCTCCAGCCCCATGAATGCTGGCATTTCAAGAGATCCTAGCAGGCCAGAATAAAGGAGTCATACTAATTTAGTCAACTAAGCAGTAAGGGGTCCATTTAGAGGTATCTGCATTAGTTACATCAGATCTAGAACTGTCTTTCCTCAACATAGGGACAGGCAGAAAAACCAACTTGTAAGATATATATATATATATATATATATATATATATATATAGCCCCTAAGCTTACTCAATGTGCCCAAACCAGGAGTGGGAATAGACATAGTACCTAAAAATATAAGGGTATAAAAGTATGAGGAAATGTCTGCCAAATAGTACTATCAGTCCAGCTGAGCATACACAGAAGAATATGCAGACCATTTAATAAGCATGGTCTCGATAGTCTCCCCATGAGCATTTCACAACTTGAGATCATTACTCCAGTGAAACACTGAGCAAAAGTGGAATAGAGAGCAGGTATTTATATATGACTGAGTAATGGGAAAGTAGCTTTGAAAAGCAATGAATACCGAAAAAAGAAAAGTGTAGACTAAAGTAGTATGAAGGCAGAAACTAAGATTTTCTTAAAAAAAAAAAAAAGATAAACATAAGGGAGAAAGGAAAAGAGACATTAATTGTGACTCTATGTCTTAAGGGAAACAAGTACCCTTTTAACTGTTGAACCATCTCTTCGGTCACTATTTTATTTTAATTATTATTACTGTGCGATGTTTTTGGGGTGGGGGGAGGGTGCCAGAGCACATATGTGTAGCACGAATAATAAAAACCCAGAGACAGATATTAGGGTTCAATTTGAAGATCAGAAAAGCAAAGCAGCCAAGCCACTAGAGAAGTCTTACCTCTACCAAGGCTGGGTGACCGCAGACTAAGCAGACTAAGCCTCTCTCTCCTCCCATTTTACATTCCCTCTAGCGCTGGGATTAAAAGTATATGACTCCTTAGTACTGGGATTAAAGGGGTGAGGTACCACCACCTGGATTTGTTTCTGCATTGATCTTGTGTAGCCCAGGGTGGCTTTGAACTCACAGATATTCAGCTGCCTCTGTCTCACAAATCCTGATATTAAAGATGTGTGCCACCACTGCCTGACCTCTAGTGGCTTAGCTTTTTCCTTCTGATCTTTAGGCAAGCTTTATTTATTAAAACATAAACAAAATATCACTATATACATGCAGAGATAAGAAGGCAACTTCTTATAAGTTAAGAAGCCTCTCTGCTTCCATTTTTAGACAAGTTCAAAGGATTGAATTTAGGTTACCAGCTTTATCTACTGAGCTATCTTGCAAGCCAGGCTTTTGTTTTTGTTTCGTTTTTGCTTTTGTTTTTTCAAGACAGGGTTTCTCCTTGTAGCCCTTGCTGTCCTGGACTCACTCTGTAAACTATGCTAGCCTCGAACTCAAAAACCTACCTACCTCTGCCTCCCAAGTGCTGAGATTAAGGATGTGTGCTGCCACCAACACCACCAGGCTGCCAGGGAAGATTTTAACTGATACTTTTGCAAGTGTCAAATAATCTCAAATGTTTTTAATCATCGAAATAAAGAATACCAATAAGCTGGTTCCCAAACTTCACACGAACTGATATGAAATTTCTGTTGTTTTTCAGGAAGCCTTGTATTGCCATGGTGGCCCCACAAAAATAATATACATATGTACATCTAAAACTCAGATAAGATCTGATTATTCAAAAGTAAAACCCACTTAAATATCTGACAAGAAGCCTGGCAATAGTCCCACTACGCAGAACCAGAACCACACTAAGAGACATGTATGTGCAATCCAATATAGTACTTACAAAAATATTCTAAAGTTAAGTTGTTACTAATGCTACTCCAAGATGAGAGAGCTTTAGCCTGGGTGACAGGAAACCAATGTCCTGTAGGCTAGAAACAGAAGTAGTCAACACCGACTCTTCTCCCACAGTACCAGAAATTAATTGCACACAAAAATTTCTATTGAAGTTTTACTACTAAGGTCAAAGGCCCTAGTGGGGAAGCTACTGCTTTTTGTTGTTCTTTATTCTTTTTTTACTATAATTTTTAAGTTTTTATGTGTATGGGTGGTTTGCCTGCATGTATGTCTGTGCACCACATGTATGCAGTGCCCGCAGAGTCCAGAAGAGAGTGTCAGATACCAGGAACTAGAGTTATGAACAGTGTGCACCACCATTTAAGTGTTGTGAATCAAACCTGTATCCTCTGCAAGAGCAGCCAATGCTCTTAACTACTCAGCTATTTCTCCAGCCTCCCCTCCCCAAACCCCAATATTTTTTTTTAATTTTACATATATCAGTATTTTGCCTGCCTACATGTATGTATGTATGTGAATCATATGTATGCAATTCCTGTAGAGGTGAAGAGGGCATTGGATCCCCTGGAACTCAAGTTACAGACAGTTACTCGAGACCTCATGCAATGCTGGAAACTGAACCTGAGTCCTATGGAAGAGCAGCAAGTAATCGTAACTGTTGAGCCATCTCTCCAGCCCTATACTGCTATGACTCCAGAAACAATGCTCTTATATGCTATGGCATATCAGTGATATAACACAATTACCCTTAGAATGGAACTATTTTTATAAATTAGTTAACACTGTCCTCTGTGGTAACCTAACCCCTACTTTCAACTTAACCAGAAAAAGATTTCATATGGAAAGAAAAATCTGTGCTATTATGAAGCTTCCTTCAATTAACTTGCAAAAACAAAACACATTACAAAGATGTGTTAAATTGGAATATTCTCCCCCTATACCCACCATACTAATTTACTACATACAAATTAATCTTCAAAATAGAAGAAAGAAACACATAGATGTTTCCTTTACAATCTTACTTCTTTTTAGGAATCTGTCTAAGGTAATAAAGGCAAAGCCAAAGTAAATAAGATACAAACTCTTGAGTCAGGCACCAGATTCATAGAATGTCGTTTTCATTTTTAAAAACAAATGATTTTGGTTAACAGCAACAACAAAAATAAAATGTTATACCTACATATTTTTCTCCCATTCCTTTGACACACTTCATCATAATAACATTAGTAGGAACATGGTGTAGGAGGTCCTTCTATGTGCTGTTTTCATTGGTTGAATAAAGAAACTGCCTTGGCCTTTTGATAGGGCAGAACTTAGGCGGAGTAGATAGAACGGAATGCTGGGAGGAAGAAGGGCAGAGCCGAGATGCCATGGATCTCCTGCCTGGGACGGACACCAGTTAGAATCTTGCTGGTAAGCCACAGTCATGTGGCAATGCACAGATTGATGGGAATGGGTTGAACTGGGAAGTAGGAGGTTGGACAATGGGAAGTTGGAGCTGATGGGCCAGGCAGTGTTTAAATGAATACAGTTTCTGTGTGATTATTTCGGGGTTAAGCTAGCTGCGTGGCTGGGACAAAAAGCAGGCCCTCTTTCCTCCCTAAATAACTACTCTAACATTAAAACATGGAAAGCTGGGTCAAGACACGGTGGCATGTGCATTTAATCCCAGTACTCAGGAGTCAGAGGCATGCAGATCTCTGAGCTGGGAGGTCAACCTGGTCTACACAGAAAGATCTTGTCTTAAAACAAAGAATGACCAGTTTGACTAATAAATGTGCCTCAGCTAATACATGTGCACTTGCCTAGCTTATGCATAGCCTTGGGCTAGATCCCCAACACAATGTAAAACAGAGCATGAGGAAGCATGCCTGTAAGTACAGAACTTGGAAAGCAGAAGATCAAAAGTTCAAGGTCATCAGCAACCACATATTGAATTCTAGGCCAGCCTAGAATGTAAGAGATCCTATCTAAAAAATACAAAACCAAAAAGCAAACAACTAAAAGAAAAACAAGGATAAGTCAAGATCTATTCAAAATCCAAGTCTAAATTCTAGTATCTCTTCAATAAGTAGAATAAATTTTAAGTATGCAAAAAAACAATATTTTTGTATAAAATGTGATTTAGCTCTATATATAAAATAAGCAATAAAATTAAAAAAAACAGCCCTTAGGAAGTACTCTAGGCAGCATGACTTAGTAATTCACTTAATCCACAGTAATTCCACAGTAACCCTCATAAAATAGGTGCTCCTGTCTCTGTTCTTCAGGTCAGAACTTAGAGAAGAACTTACACTTAAAGTGATCACTGTTTCTCATTGCCATCAAGAGGATAAAACACTGAAGGTTCAAAGAACAGAACTAGAATCTAAGAACAAACACTGAACCTCATGCTTAAGAATTCAAAACAGAATAACCATTATAATGCCTCGTTTAATATAAATACACAATTTAATGTTAAGAGTTATAATATTTACACTTTTACCTCCAGAAATAGTTTCTTCATTGTGATATATGTGTATATATATGATATATACATACCATACATACATATGTATATACACACACATGCATATATATCATACTCACTGTATGGCCGGGCTGGCCTTGAAATAAGAGATTGGTCTGCCTCAATATCCTGAATGCTGGGTGGGATTAAAGACATTTGCCATCATGACCTTTCTTAATAATTATTACAGCTTTCATACAGTATAATGCCAGGGTATAATATAGTATAGTACTAATTTATAGGCAGATCACATGTGAAACCAAACTGGTATTATTCCAAATCACTGTGTTTTAAAGGTGGAATACTGTTAGTAACAGGCTACCTCTTTTGAAAGATGGGAGCACTGAGGCTCAGAAGGATAGAATGACTTCATCAAAGACATAAAACTAATTCCTCAGCTGGGCATGGTGGTGCACGCCTTTAATCCCAGCACTAGAGAAGCAGAGGCAGGCAGATCTCTGCGAGTTTGAGGCCAGCCTGGTCTACAGAGTTGAGTTCCAGGATAGCCAAAGATACACAGAGAAATCTTGTCTCAAAACAAACAAACAAACAAAAACAAAACAAAAAAGGTAGTAAGAACCAAACAAATCCTTACCAACTGAACTTCACCAAAAGCACCTCTTCCAATAACTTTTACAACATCATAATCTTCTGCTTTCATCTGTAACCCTCTGATTTTTTTCACAATTTTCTCATCTATAATAGAAAGATCACCATATTTTAAAGCAATCATTAGAAATATTCAAAAATAGTCAAGTATTTGTAAACATTTTTTACTTCTAGATTCTAGAATTTTCAGCTGATTCTGTTAGTCTTTAAAGGATCCTATTTTAAAACTTTAAAATGTGGGAATCGGTGTAGTATGGTGACAGACTGCTTAGTTAACATGTGAGGTCCTAGGATCTATCCCCAGAATCAAAATAAACACTCTAAGAAGCATGCTATCTCTGCATCAAGGAACCAAAGCTCTGTGATTTGTTGGCACATGTCCATGAAGACCACTAACTGCTAAAGCTGTTCTGCTTCTCATCCCCCTGTATGCAAGAGACATCAAGGACCCAGGCAATCTTGATTCTTTATCAATCATGGCAGAAAGCAATCACAAAGTCAGGCATGTCACCCAGGACCAGGAGGCTAAACATAAGGACTATACATTTCAGGGCAGCCTCAGTGATATTACTAGATGTCATCTCAAAAGAGAAAAGGAAGGAATAAAATTACTTGTAATTCCAAATTTAGTAATGATGCTTTAAAAGGCAGCAATCATATTTCAAAAATATCAACTACTACAGTCAATATTAAATTGAAAAATACCCTAGTACTGACTATTCCAAAAGAAAGGATTTAGCTGCGAGAATAAAGAGGATGCATTAATCATTCTGAAACTTCCCCCCCATTAGACATTTTTAGAATTTTAAATTTTCTGTGTTATATATTTAAGAGTGTGGGTCTGTATGAGTGTGGTGCCCACAGAAACCAGATGAGGAGGCATCAGATTCCCCAGGAGTTAGTAACAGGTGGTTGTGAGCTGCCTGACCTGGGTGCTGGAATCTGAACTCAAGTCCTTAACAGCTGGGCCATCTCCAGGACCCTTGGATTAACTTTTTCCTTTTTTGGAGACTGCCTTGCTTTGTAGTCTAGGCTAGCCTTAAATGCGCAATAGTCCTCCTGCCTCAGCCTCCTGGATTGCTACATATAAGCATAATACACCATGCCCAACTCACTTTGAGAATATATTTTCAGAATCTACTAATTTCAACATAATACTAACAAACATTAAGGATAATCATATATATATGTATATATATATATATATATATATACACACACTAACTGCTATTACATCATTTTTCCTTAACAAGACTAAAACAAAGCTTATCAAAGTCTTCTGGGTAAATAAAAGCAATGTCATAGAATTACAATAATTTAAAATTTTGCTTAGATCAAGCATAAACAAGAGTTATAGGGTCTTAACAATTTCTATAAATCTAATCTTTTAAATTTTATTTAATTTACATATTGTAAGTTAGTTTAGCAAACTTACTTTGAAAATACAAAATATTTTTAAATGAAACAAAAAGCACACTTAATACAAGCAAGTTCAATAAGCTAAGAAGAATGACCCCATAGGCTCATATATTCGAATGTTTAGTCACGAGAGAGTGGCATTATTTCCAAGGATTAGAAGGATTAGGAGGTGTGGTCTTATTGGAAGAAACACGTCACCGGAGCTAGGCTTTGGGTTAAGTCCATGCTGGGCCCAATGTCCTTCTTTTGACCTGCAGATCAGGATGCAACTCTCAGCTATTGCTCCAGCATAATGTGTATCATCTGGCTTCCTGCCATAATGGACTAAATCTCTGAAACTGTAATCAAGAGATCATGGTATCTCTTCACAGTAATAGAGTGGTGACTAGGTCATAGGTTAACAAAGTTAAGAGATATAAGTACCAAAACACATCTCATTTAAAGCTCAGCTATGTGTCCAAACATTAATAGTAAAAATAAATATACTTACATCTATTTAAGAAATTATCTATATTTTTATTTTTTCTCAAAGCAGGAAAATCCAAGTCAAGGACCAAGGAATTTAAGCCATCCTGTTAAAAAATAAAAAGTAAAAAGCAAGTTTTTATAATTCTGAAGCATTCAAAAATCTTTAAATATTATATATGCTATTCCCATTGAGTAAATACGAACCCACATTGATGTATTGTACTGACTCTCCATTCCCAACAGCTTGAACAAGTTTTCTAACCTGAGAATGTTAGCTGAGAAGCTGGGAATACACACAAAATCAGAGTTTGGTACTCAGTAAAGCAAAGAAAGATAAATGTAGCTTATAAATTTTTGCTCATTTAAAATAATTTTGTTTATTGCCCATGGAAGGAGGGGAAGGAAGTACCAAAATAAATACGATGACATTGTTCTCCAGGTAAATGGATGGAACCAGAAAGAATCATACTAAGGAAACCCAGACCCAGGTGACAAACACTGCATGTTTTCTCATCGGAGGCCCCTAGTCCCAAATTTTCAGAAGTGAGCACATATCCTAGAATAAATGCAGATAGATGATTTATGAGGCCAGCCTAGGCTTATATTGTCTCACAATAATGCCTGCTTTCTATTTCACCCAGAAAAATCTGCCCTTCAGGGATTTTTTTTTTTTTGGTAAACACTTTGGGGGGTATCAAATATCTGCCTCATCTTACCCCCACCAGCACACACATACTTACCTTTTAAAAGGGAGGTGGATGCGTAAGTATTATGGATGGATATGGATGGTTAAGGAGAATCTAATTCATACTTCTCTGTTCTACTTTACATTTGGTAGCCCATAACATTTTATTTGGAAAGGGAGGAAATTCCCACTATTAGGAAGCAATACAGGGTCTGGAGAGATGGCTCAACAGTTAAGAGCACTGACTGCTCTCTCAGAGAACCTGGGTTCAATTCCCAGTACCCACACTGCAGCTTACAACTGTCTTTAATTCTAGTTCCAGGGAACCTGACACCCTCACACAGAAATACACACAGACAAAACACTAAAACACATAAAAATTAACCGATTTTTTAAATGAGGTTTTTAAAAGGAAGCAATACTAAAGCCAAATAATATGTACAAATGTAGCTTTTAAAGTGGTTAGTAACCACTGCCACCTATAACTGCTGCTTACCATCCCTTCATTTCTGGCACTCCCCTGAGCAGGACTAAGGATTTCTTGTCCATCAAGTACATATTAGCAACTCATTAAACAAAACAAAATTATACATGTCAGGTAGTAGTGGTACAGGCCTTTAATTCCAGCACTCAGGAGGCAGAGTTAGGCCATCTCAAAGAAAAAAAAAAATCAAGCCTTGGGGATTCAATCAAGGCTGCAAGTGCGGACATGTTTGTGATGTTGGGCACAACTGCCAAGAGACTTAGTGATCACAACTTTATTAATTACCACAAATTTTCTTACTCTTTTGGTTAAAAGTCTGATCCTATTCTAATTTCTCCAATATTCATGTGCATGGCTTTTCAGAACACATATTTTGGGGCTGACAGGACAGCAAGATGGGTAAAGGCATCTATCTACCACCAAGTCTGACAACCTGGTTCAGTCTCTGACTCCCACATAATAGGAAAGAGAATTCCCAAGTTGTTCTCTGACTTCTTGTGCACATACACTAACACCCACACATTAAAAACGAATCATCATCCAACAAGTCATTTAAGAACCCAGACAATGATGTTACTGTCCTGAATTGAATCAAGCATTGAACCAATTTTCATTAAATGTAATGATAATGATTTGGAAAATCTAGCTTTTCTGTTTTGCTCCATTTACATCAAAGGAGCAACTCTAAAAATCCAGACAGTGCCAGAAAACATCAGTTCTCCCAGTATTTTGCTTTGTTTTGACTGATATATATCAGAAACAATTAGTGGAAAATGCAGTTTTCTTGACATCATATGCCTTGGAAGGTGCTGAAGAATAAGAAACGAGAAGAGCAAGGAAACTGCACTGACAGACTTACTAGACAGCTGGAGAAAAGCACTCACATGTTCTACTCTACCGTCAAATACATGCTGGCCACTGTTGTAACAGAAACAACCAAAGAAGACAAATGCATACTCAGGATCAAATTACTTCTTTAATACTAATACTAAAGAAAGCTTTTCTAACAGTCAGCAGGGCAGAGGTGGTTCTATGGCTGAAACACAAAACTCTTGAACGCCACATACTTTTAAGATCTGTCCTCTATCAGAGAACATAGAAACTTACGAACAGTGCTAAACACATTCAAAGAACAAGTTTTTACAACCAAGGCACAGAACGCTGTAATACATCATCTCACTAACACTAAAATTTTATAAAAATAAGGGTGTGAAAGTGTTAAGAAAATATTTTCAATCCTTTGTGGTGAGCTGAAAAACTACCACAAAAGCTTCTACTTTTATACAAAAGTTTTCAGGGTAATCTTTCACAACACACTTCAAAAAGTCATTGAACTTACAGATGAATTATATATTCTTCTATAAAAAATTAAATTGCTCTAAATTTACTGAGTTTGCCTCACTATAACAAGTTATTAACAACAGTATCCTGGTGAATACTTTTAGTGAGAGGTCTAAGTAAGGACAACAGAAAATGACAAAAAACAATTTTTAATATTTTGAAAAGTACTGCTATAGAGGAAATATTTTGACAAGGGGTGTCTGGAAATGTCACCAGGAATATGTGAGTACTGCTGAGTAACATGTTCTGCATCTTGGGATGAATAAACTATGTTAACTTGCATGCTTAAAATCTTTAAACTATATTCTGGGGTTGGAAAAATGGCCCAGCATCTAAGAGCACTAACTGTTCTTCCAGAGGACCCGGGTTCAATTCCCATTACCCACATGGCAGCTCACAGCTGTCTGTAGCTTCTGTTCCAGGGATCTGGTGCCCTCATACAGACATAAGTGCAGGCAAAACACCAATGTATATGAAATAAAATTAAAATTAAAAAAGCAATCTTTAAACTATATGCTAAACCAGCTACAACTAAAAGCAGCTGCATTATTTTTGCTAGTTTACTTTGTCGCATCGCTGTTGCTGCTTACTGTTAGGTGCATGTACATGAACTACTGAAAAACAGTTTTAGAAGAACTAAGTTCCACCTTTATATAGTAATGCCCTCTTTATCTCTGAAGGGAGTGTTCTGCTGTGCACAGTGCCTAATGTTAATAAAGTCCCTCTAGTCTGTTACAGAGCATACACAAAAGATACCTTGCCCTTGAGGGCAAGGGCACCAACTAGCTCCTTGTGGTGACAGAGGCAGCGCAACTGAGTGGATTAAAATACAAAATTGTATTATTAAAATACAAAAATGCAGCTAATCTAGTTCATTTTTACAATCTACCCTCTATCACCAGAGAAAGCAGAGGCTTACTAAGTCTCAACAACCACAAAAAAAGTTATTAGTTGGTGAACAGAATCAACAAATTTACTACCTGGTGTGTTGTGTGCCCTTCTGTTATGGAATGTTATTCTAACTATGTAAAGGTGTGTTAACATTTGTTTCTGCTGCTTTTGTTACCCATGCAATGACCTGTTACATTTGTTTGATTAAATAAAATTAACCTGGGGTCAGGAGGCTGAGTCAGCAACTAACTGACAGGAGGAACTAAGTGTAGAGAGGGTTCTTTAGTGGGAAACAGGAACAAGGAGAGGTTAGCTACTGCACTAGCAGGATTTTACCTCAACCTTTGAATCCTGATCTACAGAAGGATAGAGATTTAGATAAAGTTTCCTTTAGAGGCCAGATGTCTCTGCTGTAAGGTACTATTACATCCTTCTGGGGTCTTTGATGGCATTAAAAGACTAAATAGTTAGCTTTAGTTTTCCTTAGTTATGACAGAAAGTAAGTCAGGTATAAAACTTTGGAATCACTAAGATAGATGATGGAGTACTGTAGTAGGAGGCCACTTGTTCGTCCCAGCCACCCAGAACCAAAATAACCACACAAAAACTATTTTTAAAAAAAACAAAAAACACTGCTTGGCCCATTAGCTCTAACTTCTTATTGGCTAACTCTTACATCTTAATTAAACCCATTTCTATTCATCTGTGTATCGCCACATGGCTACGGCTTACCAGCTAAAGTTCTGGCTTCTGTCTCCGGCAGGGCTACATGAAATCTCTCTAACTCTGCCCTTTCCTCTCTGAGCATTCAGTTTAGTTTTCCCCACCTACCTAAGTTCTGCCCTGCCATAGGTCGAAAGCAGTTTCTTTATTCATTAATGGTAATCACAACATACAGAGGGGAATCCCATGTCACCTCCCCTTTCCTGTGTAAATAAAAAAGGAAGGTTTTAACTTTAACATAGTAAAATTACATATAACAAAACAGGTATCAAGCAAGAATTACAGTTCTTTTATCGTAACTAAGGAAAACTGTAACTATAAATTCTTCAACTATATCAAAGACTCCAGAAGGATATAATATTACCTAAGTAAACAGGAAACACATTGTAAGCAACTTCCAAGACTCTAGAATTGACAGAGACATCTCACTGCCTGGACAGTCACCCAAAGTTCTTCTGTACCGTTGGGGCATCCATCTTCAGCCTACAGGCCCATAGTATCTGGCAGAGTTTTCCATGAAGCAGGAAATTTCAAAGACAGTTCTGCCTATATCGGCAGTTTGTCAGTCACTTTCTTCTGTGCCCTGAAGAATGTCTTGCAGACTCTTTCATGAAGCAGGAACCCCGCAGGCCCTTTCTCACCTTTAGGCAAGTTCAGCAGTCATCTCTCTGTGGGTCCTGCATGTCCAGTTCATCAAGCAGTCCAGGCAAGAGCAGTTTCTTGCCCAAATGGCTAATCAACTCTAGAAGGAGCCTCTTCAATGCCCATCTTCCTCTTGAAGTAATTGGTGCTGCCAGGAGCAGATGTGTCTCATTGTCATGAAAAGTCCTAAATTCTTAAACATTTTAAATGCCATATTCTGAAGGTCTTTGAAAGTTTGAAGAATGTCTGTCCACCTGAAATACATCTCTGTGCATCTAGAAAATCTAACTAACATGACTATAAGCTTGACTATTATAGATAATTATCTATTAACCTAT